GGGCTCGTTGTGAAGACACTCGCAAACCTCTGCGTGCTACTTGTCTGCAGAATGGCCTGTCCTTTGGCAGGCGACACAGGTTGCCTGAGGGAGCTGTGGCATCACTGCTTCCCGGTTGCCTGTCTGTGGCTGCAGGACCTGGTAGGTATTCATGGGGACCTCTTAAAACCTGGGGTGTCAGGGGCAGAGCTGGAGGAGTGCAGAATTCTGGAGACCAGTGGGTCTATCCCTGTGTCTCCCAGAAGCTTCAAGCTCCTGACCTCACAGGTTGAAAGCCTCTCTCAGAGCTGATGCAGGTTTGAGGTGCTTCTTTGCACTCTACCCAAATACCAGCGTGGAATGCTCTGGTCTGTCGCAGTCGGTGTGGAACAGGAGGGAACACACTGGTGCCCCCGTCGGGCTATGTTATTATACATGCACCCGCGTTTCATTGAGGGCTATTTAAATCCCGAGCCGCCATTGAAGTGATTGCCTTTCACAGCCAGCTAGACTGTGCGTACTTTAACTCTCTTCAGAAGAATCTCATAATAAATAAGCCGAATCCAAACACACACACACACACACACACACACACACTGTCTTTATGGAAAATGGCTGCTAATCCATGATCATTTTTTTCCCAGAAACAGGTTTTATGATAATATAGTAAAAATATTAAATTAGAAAATGCCTCACTAAGGGTTATAAAACCTTACTACATTCAAGATAGGTAATTATCCCCTCTGCAGCCTAAATGACAGTTTAAAAGAAATAAAAATGTTAGTGCTCATTACTTGCTTTTGTAGGTTGCAATAAAGGGTAAGTTAAATTTTAATTCAAAGAAGAGCCCCTGCTATCGACCTTCTACCTTAGGTCCAAGTCCTGTTAATTACTCTGTGGGTTACTCTCCCGCCTGATACCAACAGTGATAGGTGTGCTACAGTGGCCATTCCCAGTGGCCATGAAGGCCAAGAACCGGGGAGGGAGGTGGTGGAGGCGTTTCAGCCAGTGACTCAAATCTTGCTTCTTAATGTGATTGGGATCAGGAATTATGTATTTACAAAAAACAAACCCAAGTTCATTACGCATAGCCTTAAGGGAACCTCCGGTATTAAACTCTGCACCTACCCTGGAGAAGCAGATGGAGACAAGGTTAACTTGAAGGATTGATAGTTCAGCTTCTCTGCCGGCTCGCCCCCAGTCAGGAAAGCTGCCACAGGGGGAATACTCCACGCAGTGGAAGGCGGTCTGGCCCTCTAGCCCATGGTTGCTTTTGGTTCCCAGTTTTCTCTTCCTTAGGTAAGGAACACATTCTGTTTCTTTTCAGATGCTTTTTCCTTTTCCCTGGGTGTTGGCACCAGGTTGAACACCTGTCTGGGCTTGGGAGAAGGAGGCATAGAAACATGGAAACATAGAAATCTGGAAATTGATTCCAGATGTTTTCTAAAATTGACCTCCCTAAGGCTAGGCTGGGCTGGAGGCCCCAGTCCACCTGTACCCCGACGGTCACGGCCACCCTTCTCCCACCGCACACAGCCTTCTCCAGCCTGGCTTAATCTGACGTGGACATGGCCCGGGGCAGGCACCCAACAGGACCATTCCGCTCGGAATACTGGTGCCCTGAGCATGGGCTGGAAAGCAGATGCCTGCAAGTGGGTGGTTTCCAGGTCTTTATTCTAAACAAAGTTACAGCAGAACCTTGCTGAGTTGCCCACTGATAGATCATTAAAATTAATGCTGGGCTGTAGACCCTACATAATGGGAGCTAGGAGGGGGCATTAATCCAGAACTACATATTCAGAATTGGATATCACGGCTACCACAGAACTCCCTGTCTGTTTGTTGTGTGGCAAGGCCTCTCAGAAGTGCAGTGTCTAAAATAAAAAACCAAAAGTAGGAACAGAATTGGTGCCGAATCCACTTCTAGCCGTGAGTATTCACCCGTGGCCATGTGAGTGGAAGGGGAGACCTGCATCTGCATCACTGAGAGGTGTTTCCATTAACGTTTTACACATTTATGTATTTTAGGTTTTATAAAAGTTAGACATTTGTTATGTCATTACTACATATATATATGTATATATATATATATATCAATTATATCCTAATAGTTAGAATGATAACACAATCCAGTAGTAATTTTTTAAATTACTTAGAGCCTTGTGGTTTCACGAAATTAAAATATTTTTATTTCAGCTTTTAAAATTTCAAAGTGCTTCAATTTACATGCTTTTGTGGCCAAGAAATAGAATAGGGTGATCGATAAAAGACTTTCAAGCATAAAACAATTGTATAAGGACAAAAAATCTGTAGGGAAAAGTCCAATTGAAATAAAAGTTTAAAAAGAAAAGTGCTGTAGAATCTCCCAGTTAAAGAATTTGTGCGTGTGTTATTTCAGTGCATGATGAGGGTATCAAACCAACGTGGCTTATAGACTCCATGGGGTGTATTTCAAAGGGATGTAAGAGTTTTATTTTTAAAGGTAGTATTCACGGTATTCTGGTAATTATGTCCTCTGTGACTACTTAAATGTGTCTTGAAATTTTTTTATATGTCATCTTAAGAATGTTTGAGGGGGGTGCATGGCTTTATAAAATTCTCCCTGGACATACAGAGGCTCAAGAGGTATACCCCCGCCTCCACCCCCACGGTGTTTGCTCTGAAGTGAGCTCGGATGAGGAGGTTAGTGTGGCCAAGCAGCTAGGATTAAGGGGGTCTTGGGGTGGGAGCAGGCCTGTGTCCAGACTTGGAGCTGAGGGAGATGGAGAGGGCCGGGGAGGGCAAGAAGCAGAGTCGGTCAGGAGGTTGTGGCCAGGCTCCCGGCAGAGACCGAGAGGCAAGATCAGAAATATGGAGGCTCCGAGAGCGGGGAGTCTGCGCGCTTGGAAGCTGGAAAAACCCCTCTGATGGGTGGCAGTGGGTGCTGAAGCCCGATGGTTGAAATTACTTTGGGATTTTTAGGTTGGAATAATCCCTTACTCATATTCTCTCTGTAAAATATTTTAAGAACCCAAACCACTCATCTTCCCAAGTTGCTTTGCCATGAACAGCTGCATATGTTTGTCAGCTTTGCCCACCTGAGTGTGAAATGATGTTCTATCAAAACATGGGTTTCAGCATCTCACTCTGTGCTCCTGACATGTGAGCCCTGCTGCGGACAGTAACTGCCGCCTTGGCCTCGGCGCTGCGCTGAGATTGCAGCGCCGAGTGGAAGCGTTTGCTCAGCGGTAATGATGGGGTCTGGTGCAAGCAAGCAAGGCGAGCTTGGAAAGGATATGATCGAGAAGGGCTGAAGAGCATTGCGCTTCTGCATCTCCCTCTCCTCAGACTGCAGCCTTAAAGTCACACTGTCCTTTTTGTCAGGGCCACTCTCCCCTTGGTGCCATTTAATTTTTTTTTTTTTAATTGAAATGGCTGAAGAGACTTATTTGCAAACAGGCAGGCCATGATGTGATGAGGTGAAGCCTGGGCAGGACGGAGCGACGCTTTGGAAGCCACTGCCTTGGAAGTGAGGCCGCCTTCTGCTCATTTGCATTTGGGCTGAAGCTGCTTCCACCTTTGTGCTGGGCTGGGGCCAGGCTGGCAGATGTATGCACAGAGGGACAAAAGAGCCAGGGAGCCCTGGGTGGACCTGCATCCTTTGTCTGGAGGCCCAGGGCTGGTCAGGTGGTGGGCGAGGGGCCTGGAGAAGGAGCAGACTGCCATGCCCTCAGGTGCGGACGCAGGCGGCTTGTGTCTGGCCTGTGCCGGGAGCTGCTGGTCCCAGCATAGGGGCGCTTGCGGCCGTGGCTTCTGCAGTTCCTCCTCCACAATTCTTCCTTTTAAAAAGTTTTGACCCGCTGCCCTAGATGCTGGACTTTCTAATTATAGTTACCTCTGTTTCTGGACATGATAACAGGGACTTAAAAAGCCCTCGTGAATGTTTGTGTTGTGGTTGGTCTTGCTGAATACAAATAGCCGTCTGAAGGGTGGGTGTCGGTGGGGGTTTGGGCTTGTTTTGATTTTTAAAGTTAAATTCGTTGATGACTGTCAGGTAACAAGCACTTTTATTATTTCTCTTCTGTTTTCTTAACAAGGATGGCAGCTGTATTTTGGTTCCATCTTGAAAATATAAAACGGAGCAGGCGCAGCTTCCCCGTCGGGGGTGACGTATTCACCACTGGCCCTGACCTTAGCCCCCTGGCAGGCACCCCACCCACCCCCCACCCACTCGCTGCTGCTTCCTGGCTCCCTGTAGGTCTTCAGGGAGATCCGCTCTGTGTCCATAGGGTGGCTGTTCTGGAGCCTGTCACAGCGATAGGGATGCTCCTGCCCACTTCTAGATTTTTCGGGGCTTGACAGATGACTTTGCCCGGTGGTCGTGTGTCAGTTACATTTAATAGCAGAAACAGAGGCGAGAGTGGTCATTTACTTTCATTTTCAGGGACTGTGGCTTGTGAAGATTTTTTTAAATGTCTAAACCTTTCTTTAGCAATAAATTAGCCAGTCGAATTATTTATTAGGTTGAAACCAGAGAAAAGGGTGGGGAGATGGGGGTGGGGAGCACCTTGGGTCCACGGAACTGCTGCACATGTGATAGTAATTGGAATCTTGTTGCTGGGTCATTTTCATTGTTTTTCAAGTACTGCCAAGTCCAAGGAAATGTATGAAAACTAAATTATATCCCCCTACATCCCATGTCTGATTGAATCCTCCTCATCGCATGGCGGGCTCATACATCCTATTAAAATATTCAATCTTGTTTTCTTACTTGAAGAGCCTGTCTGTAAAGGGCAAACTTACAGAAAACTCATTCCCCAGAGACAGGGTATCCAGCGCCACTGGACGATTTACATATTTTACTATTTGATTGGCTTCTTCCAGGTTTTTTCCTTTGTATTGGTGCATTAGTGCTGGGGGAACCTTTATGATCACACAACTACACGCTCAGTGGAAGAAACAGGTGGAGGTAGTTCCCACTTCCTGCTCAACCTGGAAAAGTTGACCAGGGTGTTAACCAGTTTGTCTTGTTTGTCTTCTAGGACCGAGTTGTATCGATCTCTTTTTGGCCAGCTCAACCCTCCTGATGAAGCCCATGGGGATTGACCGCACCCACCTTTCCTGCTGCGGCCCTGAGGCCAGGCGTCCAGCCCCTGTGGCGTGTGGCCAGCTCGCGTCTCGGCCCCATGCGGAGGCACTGCTGGCCCGGGATGGAGTTCACTGGGAGGCCCAGGGAGGGTGCACTTGGGCCAAATAAACCCCGGCCGGCCTGGAATCAGGCGTCCGTGTGTCCAGTGCTTCCGTGCGTCCTTTAACCGCGACAGTGGTTACCGCTGCCGTGGCCACCACCAAGTTCTCAGGCAACTGGCTGAGCTCGAGAAGGGAGACAGGTTTGCAGGGAAGGGTTTCGTTTTCTCCTCCAGCCGAATGGTCTCCTCTGACAACATAAAACTCAAGGGAAGGAATCATGTGGGGAGGTTGCTGCTTTCTGGGTGGACCATTAGCGATGGGTGGTTCCTGGCGCTGAGGAGCCAAAAAACCTATTGGCTATGCCCAGGAGACTGAAACTTGGAGGTTACAGGTCTTGTAACTTGGAGGGGAAACATTTGCCTATTTCCCACGGAATACAAAACTCTGGCTTTCTTTTTGTTTCTTCTTTTCAGGCATAAAGATCCTCGAGTCTTTTACATTCTCGCCATTCCTAAATCACTTTGTTGAGATTAGCCCTGGTGTAAATCTAGCAGGAGGAAGTGATTCACTTGTTTTTCATCCAAAGGTCAAAAGCTGGAAATTAAATCCCCATAAGGGGGATTTATAGGCCTGCTGTGGTCAATATGCAATGGAGATTATCTTGCATAAGTAATGGGCCAACCAGCCTGCGAGGCTGACCCTCTCCTAGGTCCTTCGCCCAGATCTCTCATTAGAGCTGTGGACACGGTAATGTTGAATCCAGGCAATGGAGTGCAGCTGTAGCGAATAACTAGTCGTTTTTAAAGTCAGGTTTTGATACTGTTTGAACGTGCCCAAACCAAGTGACAGACTTTAGTGCCCAGGAGTCCCACGTGTCGCTGTTGTGGTGTCGGGACAGCTGCAGGGCACCGCTGGCCGGGCCTCGCGCGTGACCGGCTCTCAGAGTGTCGCTGCACTCAGGGTGGGGCAGGTGGGGGGCTTCTCCATCTCGTGTCAGCTGGACCTTGGCACGCAGTGATTTCTTTGCCTGGTCTCAGCAGCTACCTCTTGGATTCGACATTTGGGGAAATAGTTGTTTTCGACGTGTCTCTAGTTACCCAAAAGATCAGTCAACAGAAAACAAGCACGTCCGCACAATCCTGTCCTTCTAAGCAACCAGTGCTTTAAATGTAGAACATCTATCCCGTCTCCTAGCCTCGGGGTGCTAGACAATGCAGCTTGGAACAGTAAGCGAGTGACCTCTTATGTGGAATTTCTTTTTTTTTTTTTTAAGATTTATTTATCCATACAAGAACTGGGGTACAGGCCAAGAGGAGTGGAGAGGTGAGAGGATTCACCAGAGACAGAGTGGGGCATAGAACAGGCAGATCCACTGAAATATACTGCAGAGGGGAGCAGTGGGCAGGTCAGAGGAGGTCTACTGTGCCATGTGGGTCACACACCACACACACACCCCCACACACACACCCCTCCCCCGGGCCAGGATCAAACTGGTGCTGCAGTGGCTGGGAGAGCTTCACAGTGCTGCGCTTTAACCCGCTGCACCACCAGGGAGGGCCCTTATATGGGACTTCTGTGAGGCTGAAGCTGGACCGCATTTCCCAGAGAGATGCCACCTCTGTCACTGTCACTCTTTATCTGATGAAGAAAAGATTTAAACAGGCACTTCAAAATATTCGGAGTCTTAACATGTTTAATTAAAATGAATTAAAAAACAGGAGAGATGAGAGAGGACAGAATTTTCAGTATAGGGAGTCTTGCATTTTAAAATTCAGAAGACCACCCTCCTTCCAGCCAAGAATAAATTGGAAACTATTTTAATTGACACGGATACTGCAATTCAACTGTTACTAGAAAGACAGATTAGTTGATTGATTTGCATTTTAATAAAACTAATACTTTACATTTTGGTAGCTAATGCTGATTTTTAAATGAGTTGAGAACTGCTATCAAGAGTTTCAATCCAGAGCCCTTTTTCAGTGTTGACTGAAGCATTCCTCCCTTTTGTGTGGAGTTTGCTTATTTTCTTTTTGCCCAGCTGACTACTTCACGCACGACACTCACAGACCACAGACCCTGAAGACCTCGGGTAGCAAGGCCCCCAGCCCGTCACAGCCGGAGCCCCACCACGCACGCCCGGCCAGAGCAGGCAGCGGCCCTCTCCCCGGGGAGGAGAAGATAAGACTGCTTGCTTGTCTTTGTTTACTTTACGTTAGAAATTAATTACAGAAAAGTAAAAGGAACAAATGAAAATAAGGCTCGCCATCATCGAGCCGGTCGCTGCTCATGGCGTGTTGGCGTGCCGCTGCCTGCCCTGTGCAGGTCGGTGGTCACACCAAGGAGCCTCGTGCCGGTCCCCCCCGGGCCAGGACCGCTGGGGTGGAAAACTTGCATTTCCCTTTCAGACGGTTTTCTTGCCCTAAACAAAGCACCAGGGAGGACAATACCCACGGAGCCCTGTGTCCCGCGGCCTGGGCCACAGGGCCCCCAGGTGAGAACCAGCGCGGCCATGGTGTTTCACCACCACAGCCCAGGAAGGTCGTTTCCGTGTTTTGCAGATGCCATGTAAGTATTTTAATTGCCAACTCATCATTCCTTCCGGGGCCTGTATCTTCAGTACTTAGCCAAATCCCCTGTTGCACATTTAGGTCGTTAACAATTATTTGCGATTTTGCTACAGAAAATGTTTGTGTAACACTTGTTTATTGTCTTTTGAAATGATCGTTTCACAAGTGAAGTGAACCAGGGCAAAGAACCCAAATATTCTGCAGCGTCTCAGTACATGGCACGAGGACTCGTCGTAGGGTCCTTGTTCACTCTCACTTGCTGCAGGCCAGGTCATCCACGGCTGGGGTGTCGTGAGGCAGAGTGCAGCCAGGCCCGAGTCTGTCTCTTGCCCCCCCCCCCCCCGGCACCCTTCCAATCAGCATCCTCCCCTGGGAGGACTGAAGCGCTGCTACTTGTAGTGTGTGCTAGGCGCCCCAGCGGAAAGGGGCGGATGGGCGGCGGGTGGCACCGCCAGCGCCCCCCCTCGCTCCCCGACCTTCTCTCTGGCTGCTCGACCGCACAGGATTTACTCCCCACACTGTCCCCTGGCTTCCGTGCTTGCGCCCGCATCCCGGGCCCCTGGACCACTGGACCTCTGGGTGGGTTTTCCTTGCTGCAGTGAGCATGCCATTCTTTCTCGACGCCATCCAAGATCCCTTACTGAGCCCCACTTGGAAGCCGGAGCGCCCACCCCAGGTGACACTTCCAGGATGACACTGGGAAGCCAGCTCCCGCCAGGTCAGCTCCCGCCAGGTCAGCTCCCGCCAGGTCAGCTCCCGCCAGGTCAGCAGCAGCTTCTGCAACAGCGTTCTAAGGAAACAGTCCTCAGCAGAGGCCAGTCCCCTGCACTCCGCGTGCATCGCCGAGTTCTCTCCAGGGTGACTTCGTGTCTGGATGTGTTGATGCCAAGACCCAGGCAGAAGCATCAGCATGTCCCCTTTAAGAAGCTCACCTGTATGCATTTGTTCATGCAAGTCTCAGAAAGACCCAAGTGGGTGGGAGACTTTGCACACTGATGTGCTACCATGTGTATTTAATAAGACAAAACCACGCGCCTGTCGAAAGCCAGTGAACTTTTGTTTTCTGCATCTGAGTTTGCGGCTTTCACTTTATAAATGTATGTGTGTGGCCCTCCCTGGTGGCACAACAGGTTAAAGCACAGCACTATAAAGCTCTCCAAGCCACTGCAGCACAACCCTGGCCAGGGAGCTGACCCACATGGCGCAGGAGACCTCTCCTGTCTCGCCCGCTGCTCCCCTCAGCAGTGTAGCTCAGTCCATCTGCCTGGTCTACTGCCCACTCTGTCCCTGGTGAATCCTCTCACCTCCACACCTCTGGCCTGTGTCCCAGCTCTTGTATATATAAATAAATAAACCTTTAATGAATAAATACATTGTGTGTGCTTGTGTGTTGGGAGCAGTTGTGCTAAGAACCAAACATGCTTGTGTTTAGTCATTTTTTTTCTCAAGGCTTGTAAACTCATCTTTTTTTACTCTCTTCATAACATTTCAAAAATAACTGTCCGTAATTTGGCAAGTTCATTAATTAATTCTCTGTTAAGTCCAGGGGATCCATATCGCCCTGCTGATTTGTGTATGTTCAATTTGTCCAACAGCTCCATTGATGAAGCCCTCATTACCCGCTCCTCTGGCGAGGAGGGGATGCCGCAGCGGCAGGGCGACGCCTTGTCTAACTTTTGTTTCTCTCGTGTGCCTGTGGATTTCCTCTACCGGGCCTTCCTTACCCCTCGTGTGGGGCCTGCCAATAGGGTCATTGCCTCCACGGCATTCATATTCCTGACAAGTTTGCTTGCTTTATTTCCCCTGGTTCAAGGTTCTCAGTTCAATTGTTGGGGTCAAGGACATTGAATTCTCAGGAAAGAAAATTTAAAAGAATTATTTTTTTTAAAGATTTATTTGTGCATACAGAACTGGGTACAGGCCAGAGGCTCAGGGGCAGTGAGAGACTTCACCAGAGACAGAGTGGGGTGCAGAACAGGCAGATCGACGAAATACACTGCTGAGGGGAGCAGCGGGCGGGTCAGGAGAGGTCTGCCGCGCCATGTGGTCACCTCCGGGGCAGGCCG